GGGGGGGGGGGGGGGGGGGGGGGTGGGAGAGATATGGTCTAATTTTTTTCTTTAATGCAACTAATCGATTATGAAAATAAGCGTTAGCTGCAGCCCTACACCCGATCCTCTGAGCCAGCTGGCTGTGACAGCGGTCTGCAGCTTGTCTCCTCCTCTGCAGCAATGGAATGTCCCTCCGTGTCCTATACACTGTGTATGGAAAATAGTGATGCATGGACCTTTTAGAATGCTGTAAATGAGGGGAAGAGGTTACTGGTCTAACAGCAAACTTGCTCAGAGAGGATCGGGTGAGTGTAACTTTGTTGTTTCCATCTCTAGACAGAAACGAGCACTTATCCCTTGCAATGTGGGGGTAGCTCCACTGCAAGGGTTAGTAAAAACAATTTCTAAGGAGCTCTTTTTAAAGGAAGTACACAAGGTGGCATTGCATATCTCCTTCTAAAAATAGGAGTTTCCAGGCTGCCATTTTTGGTTCAGTGGCTTCAGTACTTTCTGTTCTAAGGAGAGAAAAAAAAATCACCGCTACAAATTCCATTAGCTATCAGCTGGATCACAAACCAAGTGCTGGGCAAAAGGCTCACCGTTGGCTTGATCGTCTTAACTTTAAAAGTCAGCTGCACTCCATAGATCTTCACTAAAATCAAAAGTATTTTATTCATAAAAGCTATTACACATTGTGGTACAAAAATCCCATGTATTACGTGCTCGATAATACAAAATAATCTGCACTCCATACAGTGTACAGTGAGTAAGAGGTTGGTGCTTGAAGTGACAACGCGGATGGCGCCGTGTCAGATACACTCCATAATAGAAGTCACCAGCACTCGATATGTGCAAGAAGTAAAGCACTTTTTATTCAATCGTCACATGTCAAACAGCCAACGTTTCGGGGCCACGCAGGGTCTCTTCTTCTGGGCGACATAGTGATGCGTTTCACCATTAAGGCTTACTTATAGAGGTGAGTAAGTCTTCATGGTGAAACATGTTAGAGGCTGATTATACATGGGATTTTTGTACCGCAATGTGTAATAGTTTTTATGAATAAACACTTGATTTTGGTGAAGCTCTACAGAGTGTGGCTGACTTTTGCTGTTCAGTACTTTCTGATTTTGCATACCCAGAACAAGTTTGCAGAACAGATGGCTCTGTCTTTCCTGATCTAAATGCTTGTTGTAGAACAATGTCTAAAAAGGTATTGATGGCAGAGACAGCCAGGCTAGAATTTTCAATTTATTTTTTTTTTTTTCCCTTTTTAGTGGATGATTTTTGCCATTCATTTGCCAAGTATGTGGTTTTCATGGTGTCTGTGTTAACTGTAACTCAACCTGTGGTTTGTACTCATCAGAGCTCCTCATCACTGGAGAGTAACTTGGAGGGCCTTGCTGGGGTCTTGGAAGCTGATCTACCGAACTATAAAAGCATCATCCTAAAAATCCTCTGTGCAGTGTAAGTTTACATCCTTCTTTATATTTAGAAAGCTTTCTAAAATAGTGTTTGTGACGGACCCCCGTACTCAGGATGAGTATGTCCGCCGCTGTCTTCTTCCTTGCTGAGGAGATATTGGAACCTGAAGATCCTTAGCTCCCAGTTTCCCCAGTCACTAGCCAAGGCTCGAGTGTAGGGTAAACAAACTCTGATTTATTGAGCAACTGCACAAACTTTTATATACAGCAAGTGATGAAATCAGAATATAATCCCATCACATCCCCCCTCCCAGACCATCGGTCTGCTCAACACCACAGGTGTCCACCTGCTAACGAACTCCAGACAGCCATAGGAGGAGCCTGGCCAGAATGTCATTGTTCTGAGCTCCCTCAGAGAACAATGGGAGATAACGAGGGATGGTGCTGATAGTCTTTCCATAACCAAGTCACACAGCATAACGCATTCAAACATAACTCAACACCAATACACATTTAACTTATAAACTGATCACCATGTCGTCACAGTGTTGTTGAATTTTCAGTATACAGATGACCTCGGTCTGCACCATAGATCAGTAATACAGTGACTACATTTGCAACTGCGCTGCACCATTAAAGTAGTAATTCTGTTCTAATTAGCTTAACTTAAAGGAGAACTATGGGGTTAGGGCTTTTCCCCATAGTTCTCCTTAGGGTAACGGGAGGACACAAACTAGCATCCTCCCGTTACCCTAAGCTCAGTATACCGCGAGCTACAACTCGCAGTATACTGAGACGCTGCAGCTGAAACGGATCCCGACAATTATGCCGGGATCCGCCCAGCTGCGTGAGTGACAGCTGGCTCTGCCTATATAGAGGCAGAGCCAGCTGTACCCTCCCCCGTTCGTTTCCGCCATTCAGCGCTGGAGAATAGGAGAGGGGAATCCAGTCCCTCCCCAGTCACGGCTCACTGCCGTGACAGAATCGAGAAGTAAGCGTACACCGGTATGTGTTCGCTCACCTCCCGATCTACTGAGCCGACCTGTGACAGTCTCACTGTCACAGGTCGGCTAGAACTATGAGGTGAGTGAAAAGCACTCGCCTCATAGTTCTCCTTTAAATGTACATCTAGGTAACACATGTTTTGGATACTATATGGAAGGGTAAGAAGGTTTCTCAGGTTTTATTGCTATCTGAGGCATCGTTTGGGAGAATCCCTTCACTTTTTGTCCCTATCATGCATTGTTACCTTGACAGAAATCTGGAAAAATCTCCAGCAGGGACACAGATGGCAAGACCGCAACTTAAAAGCCTTTGTAGATCTTGCAAGGCAAGCAGCATGGTTGATGGTAGGGTAAGGGGATTAACCGCATTAGGCTAGTGGAGAGCCACCGACACCCCTGGAAGTGTCATCGTCTATATTTTGTGTGAGTGCATTTACATGGGATCTTCATAATGATATGCCTGGGCATGTGGCTTGGTCTCTAACAGTTTAGAGGTTTTTTTTTTTGTTTTTTTTTTATTGTAACAGGTTCACGTTGAACAATTCTTGTGTGCAAGCAATGGGCCAACACTTACACAACACTTATCATATGCCATTATGTTACATGTACATATTTTCAAGCATATAAATTTATAGAATATATATATATATATATATTTCTCTCCATTTATATATTCATATATATTCTTTTTTTGCAGTGCACGTACTTGTCCAGAGAAAATGACTGTTTACACTACGTTAGTGGGACTGCTGAATGCTAGAAACTACAACTTCGGTGGGGAGTTCGTAGAAGCCATGATTCGTCAACTCAAAGAAACTATCAAATCTAATTTGTACACAGAAGCTACATACCTTGTAAGAGATTTATTCTTTTTACTTTTTTTTTGGCAAGAGTCTATATTTTAACATGCCTAGGAGACCAAACTGCTTATTGGCATTAAACTCATTGCAGCAAACTGAAATCATTGTGCTGGTGATAGGATGTCAACAAGTGGTTAAATCTCTTGGAAGCAAGGAATTAAAATGTATTCCTAGCCTTTATTTGCTGAAATAAAAGTTTGCAGATATTAATAACTTTTTTACATTTATGTTTTTTGTTACTTTTACATCTAAGTCATCTTCTTCCTTGTTTTCTTTTTCTCAATCTTGGCACACAGGTACGCTTTCTGTCTGATCTTGTGAATTGCCACGTTATTGCAGCACCTTCTATGGTCGCAATGTTTGAGAACTTTGTTGGGGTCACTCAGGAAGAAGATATACCTCGGGTAAGTTTTTTCGGTCATACTTATTATGAGCATGGGCAATAATAATCAGCTAAAGTTGATTAAAATCCAGTAATGGCATTTTACCTGGTAAACATGCCAATTTAGAGAATAGGAATAATATTTGGTGTTTTAAAACAAATAACTGTTCATAACAATTAGAATTGGTTTACTTAAAACATTTATGTTCAGGGAAATTAGACGGATGAAAAGTAACTTCCCCCAGTACACGATTGGATGTTTGAATACAGGCGTCGCCTTTAGTAATTCAAACGTATCGCATGCTATGTTGAAAATGTATTAGGAAATAAAGATTATTAAGGTGCTTACTGATATGTCCCTCTCATTGGTCCATATCTGTTTAAAAAAACAAATGCACATTTATAAAGCACAGTATTTAGCATAGACTATTTCATGGGACACAGCAGGCTGTACATAGTGGCCTGTACTTTATGAATAAAAAGTAAAGCACAGGGTGGTGTGATACTGCAGTGTTGAGTGATGGTGTGCTCTCCATTTTAAATGTCTCTTCATGGATGTAAACATTTCTCGCTTTTGTGCAGCAGATATTTCATAGCCTGTAATCGGGTTTGCAGTTTTGTTATCCTGACACAGGAGAACCTTTTGAGAGTTTCCTGCAGTCTGGACTAATGAGTAGTCTCCTAGACGTCCTCCATTTTATTTCATTTTTTTGCAGCTTTTCAGATGGCAATGTGAAATAGGCTGATATGTGTTCTGCATACCAGCCACAAAAAGGTTTCCAGTTTTCCTTAGACTGTGGCTCTCATTAAAATGTTAAGGTGATCTTGGCTTGCTTTCTTGGCTTGCTTTTTTTACTTAGGTGCGATCTGACTGGTATGTGTTTGCTCTCCTCTCCTCCTTACCTTGGGTTGGAAAAGAACTTTATGAGAAGAAGGATGTTGAGATGGATCGTATTTTTTCACAAATCGAAAGTTACCTCAAGTAGGTGTTCAGTGTAGTGTGCATTTTTGTTTGACGTAAAAAGGATTGGCTTGTGGTTGTGTATATCAACCTTCAAGCATTGCTTCTATATTTTGATGTCACCTTGAAGCTGATGTTCAATAAAATAATTCCATGTTGTTGTTCCGGCCCTGTAGCCTTTATAATTTTTCATTGCTGCATGTCTTTTGGCTTTAATAATACTGTTATTTTGGTACGTAAATATTTATGCACCTTCAGAGATAAGAGCAATAGTGTGGGTATCTGAATGCTTACAGTTGAAAAAATAGATTTTTAAGTTGTTGAAATCCCCTGCTTTGGATTGTAACCAATAAGTGTCCACATTTGCCATTTAAAGCAGTCACTGGAGAAAGGGGAGTGGGCGGGGTAAATCATTCCTATCATGGGAAGAATTGGCCAGTTATAACAGGCAAAGTTTTTTTCTCTTTTGGCAATTCCTCATTGTGCCAAAGCTTGGCTGCCCCTTTCTACCTTCTGCACATTCCTTTTGGCTAGTGAAGCTGCTTATTATAGTGATGGGGCATATGTTCCTTCTGTGCTGTATGTAGGCTTAGGATACACCTCCTTTTCACCAGCATCCTCTTACAGACCTGTCTTGCTGCGGAGGTAAGGGGTGTGCTTGATGAGATCTGTTAGGTTATGGAGTACGCTGGGCAGCGCTATCAAACTACTTATTGGACAGCGGTGTCATATTTAGTCCGTACGTGACTGCTGTAGCAGGAGGAAACACTATGAAAATTGTGGTTGCCATATGTCTACATGACCATCCTGTTTCTTTAACTGCATTGGGCTTTAATAGAGTAGGAATTACTCTGTTTTGAAATGGCTATAATTAGATTAAGAACGTTTTTCTCAAGTATTGTTTGGTTTAGTCATTTAAAAACCTGCGTATCACATCAGTTATAGCCTAATGCCCATTACATGCTTAGTGAGAAGCTTTCTTTAATTTTTATTTTATAATTCTCATCTATGTTCTGTTTTAGGCAACGTCAAAAACTTCATGTGTCTATTTTACAAATATGGGCAGCGGATAAACCTCACCCACAGGAAGAGGTAAAGGGTTGGATATAGGGTCTATTTTTGCAGAGAATTGCGTTGGATTACTTCATTTACCAGGCTGTTCGTGGATCATTTTATAGGCTTAAGACTGTATGTCTATTTTAATTTTTTTATTCTAGTACTTGGATTGCCTGTGGGCACAGATTCAAAAGCTGAAAAAGGATCGCTGGCAAGAGAGGCACATCCTGCGTCCTTACCTTGCATTTGACAGCACACTGTGTGAAGCCCTGCAGCATAACCTCCCACCCTTCACACCCCCGCCTCACACTGAGGATTCAGTGTATCCAATGCCAAGGGTCATTTTCAGGATGTTTGATTATACTGATGCCCCTGAGGTAACAGACCCATACGTATTATGCATTTGAATTTTCAAGCATCCCAATTCTGTTGCATGTATTTTCACTTTTGCAGCCAAATTGGAATAACATCTATTTTATATTTGTTACGTGTTCTCATTTGCGTCATTAGAAGAAAAAGCAATTCTTTAAATTTAGAATTTTAAAATTATAAATTCTAGAATTTTCATCTAGAAACACTTGGGTGGGGAGTTAATCTTTTAACTTAATAATAAAACTGTCAGTTTTACGGCTTTCAATGTAAAGTGTCATGTGTTGATGGGAGCAACAAAATGGAGGTTTTGTCAGGTGTATACTGAATGTATTAGGTTGGGTAAAGCATTCCCTTTCCTTCTTTAGGGTCCAGTGATGCCTGGATCTCATTCTGTTGAGCGATTTGTTATAGAAGATAACCTGCACTGTATTATTAAGTCACACTGGAAAGAGAGGAAAACTTGGTAAAGTACACACTTATTTCTGTGTTTTACACATTACATGGCAGGATAAATGTGGGCCGTAGCTACTTTTTTTTTTTAGATGTCTAGAAATGGTGGCCTATCTGAAATTGAATGAGATTTAAAGATGATCAAGTACACATGTTCTCCCTGTGATCATCCCTTTGTATCTCTGGGAATTATTTGCCATATACAAAACAGTTTACTACGTTGTGTGTTTTCGGACGCAAAGTGTTAGAAAGTAGAGCTGCAGCTAACGATTATTTTAAAAATCGATTAGTTAGCCGATTATTAAGTTCGATTAATCGGTTAATCGGATAAACTATAAAATAAAGTTAAAAAATGGCTCCAGTGATGGGACTACTAGTTTGTATTGAGGTTGTAATCCACCACAGGAGCAAGCTTGGACCGGTGGAAGTAAAAAAGAAAAAAAAAGATAGTGTGGTGTGCAATATAGTGAAATGGAAAGTGTAAAATTATACAGCAATGCATGCAGAATGGCAACGGCTATAGAGGACTACAAAAGCGCATTCTGCATTGCGCTGTATAATGTACTATTGCTGGGTTTTGCAGTCCTCTATAGCTGGTGGCATTTAGCATTGTACCACTTTATAATGTATTATTGCTGGGATTTGTTGTACTCTTCTACAGCTGGTGGTATTCTGCATTGCGCTGTATAATGTATTATTGCGTGGACTTGTAGTCCTCTATACAGCGCAATGCAGAATATCACCAGCTATAGAGGAGTACAACAAATCCCAGCAATAGTACATTATACATACAGTGTATAATGCATTGCTGGGATTTGTATTCCTATGTATAATATACAGCACAATGTACCATCAGCTATAGAGAAATACAAATCCCAGCAATACATTATAGAGCACCATGTGGGGGAGGAGTGCAGGCTTACCTGAGCAGTCTTCCAGCAACTTGCTTCTGAGATCGGACCTGTCTATCAGCAGCTGTCATCCCCCCACACCTGCTCCTCCTTACTACATCTCCCCGCGTCCCTGTGCCGATCGTGGATGGTGGTGAGGTGGGGAGGAGGTGCGGCGCACAGCGTGTGGAGCCGTGAACAGGGCTAACTGATCGGAAGCCGATTAATCGATTATTGAAAAAGTTGACAACTTTTTCAATAATCGATTATGTCGATTAGTTGTTGCAGCCCTATTAGAAAGTCCAAATTGTTATTGAGGAATCTGCCAATATAGACTGTTTCTGGTTCCCCATAGTTTTGGACAGATTTCCTCTTGCCTATTGGGTCGGAGGCCAATTATGAGAGTACATCTCCTTGATTGGACACAAAGGCTGACAGCTTAGGTTTTATACAATTTCCTATCTGTGGAAAAAACAGTTTTGGCTTTAGATATATTTATTGAAGAGGATTAGTTGGTATGCAAAAAATAGAGGCCCTGCATGGGGACCACAGTTTGTATGCCTTGTTTGCTAGACTGTTAACAGAATGACACTAAACTCGGGAGTCAAATCTTCAAAATGCATTCAAGTACCTTACCTGTTAACAATACTCTCATTTGTGTATCACTCGGATGTAGATCCTCAAATCATCTCTGAATTGGTGCTGGTACTGTTCTTCTGGAGGGTGGCTACTTGTTTCCCATGGTCCCTGTGTGTGTTGTAAAGTAGTCACCGTTCCAAGCTCGCTCCTGTGATGGACTACAATCTCAATACAAATGAGAAAACTAAGCACGAGATTAGTCCATCATGGGAGCGAGTTTGGAGCATTGGCTACTTTACAACACACACAAGGACCATGGGGAACTAAAGTAGCCACCCTCCAGAAGGAAGGACAGTGTTGGCACCAATTCAGAGATGATTTGAGGATCTTCAGCTGAGTGATAAACAAATAAGAGAGTATTGTTAACAGTTAAGGTACTTGAATGCATTTTTTAAGGTTTAACTCCTAGTTAGGTGTCACTTTAAGAAATGTGGTTAAGAGTGGGGTTTTTTTTTTTCTTTTCCCTTTGATCTTATCCAAATGTTCCAAAGAAAAACCCTGAGAAAATAATACTGAATGGTTGGACAAACCTACACTGGAATGTTAATTTGTGGTCTACTTGCTAGAAGCCACTGTAGATGTACAGGGTACATACACACCTGTTAGTGGTTTTTTTTGTGTTTTTTTTTTTTTTTTTTTTTTTTTTT